CACAATATTTAAGTTGTTTTAAAGGGAATATACAACATTTGCAAACATCAAAAAACAAAACTACCAAGTTTGTACGAAATACCTTCCTAGGATGTTGGTAAATGACAGTCTCAACCATCCTGTAAAATTATGACACCTGGTGTGAAGTCATTTTCAAGAAAAGTGGTATTTTTGTATAAATTTCCAACAGTGGTCGGCCGACCACCATTGGAAAAACCTAACTATTTTTCAACTACTGCTGCAAATGTACCCTTTTTCAGTCCAAATTTTGTTTGCTATTGGTTACATGTTCATGAACGGGTGCAGGCAGTCCAGCTAGACTGGTTTCCTTACCTAACAATTTTCCGGCATCTATAAATTGATCCATTTCATCTTTAGTGGAGTCAGGGAACCAGACTATTTGAACATTTTTGTTTTTCTTGGTTTTTCCAGCATTTTCGAACACAAAACTTCAAACATGTTAGTTTAACAATATTTCATCTATTATGCTAACACCTCAAATAGTTCATTTCTGAAAATTACAACAAAAGCCAATGATGTACATTCCCTTTAACACCGGCGCTATGAAATTGGTTCCTCTGACATCATTATCACTATTTTTTCAGTAGTCCGGCTTAGTTCATTTATTTCCGCTTATTCACTTCAAAGGACCAGTACACTTGTAGTTATGAAACTTTGATATTGAACAATAAGTGGAGTGGTCTCTAAAACAGCAGGGCTTGTAAACCAGAGATCCCCTAAACATTTGGAAACATTGGAAAACAAAACTACCAAATTTTTACGAAATAGCTTACTACCGGTAGGATGTTGGTAAATGAAAGTCTAAAGCATCGTGTACAATTATGGCACTTGGTGTGAAGTCATTTTCAAGAAAAGTGGTATTGTGTATAAATTTCCAACGGTGGTCAGCCAACCACCATTGGAAAAACCTAACTACTTTTCAATTACTGCTCCGAATTTACAATTTTTGTTCAGTCCAAATTTTGTTTGCTATTGGTTACATGTTCATGAACGGGTGCAGGCCAGATAGACTGGTTTCCTTACCTGAACATTTTCTGGCATCTATAAATTGATTCATTTCATCTTTAGTGGAGTCAGGGAACCAGACTACTTGAACATTTTTGTTTTTCTTGGTTTTTTCAGCATTTTCGAACACAAAACTTCAAACTTGTCAGTGTAGCAATATTTGATCTATTATACTAACCCCTCAAATAGTTCATTTCTGAAAATTACAGCAAAAGCCAATGATGTACATTCCCTTTAAATGGTGTATTGAAAATTATGACAAAGTGTACGTACACAATATTTTAAGTTGTTTTAAGACAAGACAACGTCAAGAGGCCGGCAGTTCCGATCGTTAATTAAGATATCCAAAGGGATGCAGGTGATTACAAAGATGGTGAAAAAATACAAATTGTATAAATCACTCTTGACAATAGTTACCCACGAGCCAAAGTTTAAAAGTTGCTTCTTGAAGACGGGCATGCTGTAAATTGATTTAAAATTATCCTACTTAAAAAGAATTCCAAAATTAAGGACCTAGAAAATGATACACAATTAGCCTAAAGGATCATAACTAGTAGTGTTGGTCAATAAGAGCCTCATATCACAAAGTTTCCTTTAAGGATCGGTACAATTTGCACTTTAATACTGCAACAAGAAGAGAAAACCAATAAAAACTAGCCAATTAATATTGCGTGCAATTTCCCTCAGAGCCAAAGTACATGTTTGCACCACAGGGATGCAATACATACATCGTACGTATGTACACAGTCTTCTATTAAATTAAAAGAAACTCTCAATCTAATAGAATTGATAGGAAGCTCTCCCAGGCAGGGTTGATAAGCATCTAACGGACGCATTTAATCTTCAGTACTCCTATTGTCATGATTGTAAATTGACAGGGCTCTAGTGGTTTTCAATGGCACTATTGAAGTTTTCTAACCACAGTATTGTCCCTATTGTCAGTGTAAGTGGTTAACCATCAACTAGGTGTCAAGACACCAGTCTGTGATGCTGAATGACAGGTTTTTTTTAACTGATCCCATGGGCTGATAATGTAATTAGAGAAAGTTCTTCTATTGATTCGAGGTGGCTTCTCGAGACAAACAGCTTGGCACACAGAGCATTCCTTGATGCCCACACTTTCTATTAAACTGGTGTTTTACACCGTCTCCGGTTTCTGGTATGGAGCTTCCACCAAAAGTGGTGCGGCGATTCTTCAAATGTCAGCTGACGTTGCAGATGACATTTCAATCCTCTTGAAACTCTCTTCAGAGCGGAGCTTGAGGTGACCTCAGTAAAGCCATATTGGCTTGAGAATTCTGCAAGGTCACTTACGAGCTCGACTGACATGAACATTCTTTGGAAAATTTGGATAGTCAAGACAAAAATCTGAGAAAACGGTACTTAACGTTTGATACGGCGACATCGTGCATGAGCTGCCAGGCTGGTCATTAGTCTGCTCCCTTACACACCGGTAAATTGCGTCAATTAAAAAGCATTTACAGGTTCCAGATCTATACATGACCAGCGCTCCCTCAGTCTGGCTTCCAGACGCACAATTGTAAACTTACAACACCGTCTGGAAATGGTGCCCGACTAAATTCAGTGCAAAATATACATGGGAACCCAGAGACGCCACATTAAGCTTTTAAATACTCGATCGTAACCCCATCCATTCACGTTAAAATTATGCAGCAACAGGATTCCAGTCAAACCAGTGAGTTTGGCGGTTTTGAGACATCATCTTATCCTATTGAAATATTGCCGACGCGCACTGCTACGGCAATGCGCACGCATACAAGAAACCGGAGACTTTTTTGGGGCCTTATAAAGGTATCCATGGATCACAGCACTAGCAAGCTAGGCCAAATTTGCATACATGTACCAGTACTTAGCTTAAAATATTAATCTTTCAAAATACAAAATGGAATTAGAATCAATTGAGTGAAAAAAGTGTAGCGTTACTAAATTATGAGACATCATAAAAATCCGAGCACGGTTTCAAGCAAGCTCATTACTTGCAGCACACAATGTAAAGTTTGTCGCGCTCAGTTTTTTAAGAAGGTAGTTTAATTCATACTGAGCTTACATTTCATGTGACTATAGCATTCAAACGCAGAGATGCCAAAATCACACAAAGGCTGGGCATGTGAGATTACAGCATGACAGTTACAGTACGACATGGCCAAAATTCAGGCGTCAGGAGGCGTCGGCTGAGTGTTCCCTAACGTGGTGCACCTTGAGCGAATATCCCAAGTTAAGTAGCTTCAAATTGATACCTTCTGATAAATCATCATTGTCTCCACTCCAATACCCAAATCTACAAGTTTGTCAGCAACGATTTTCTTATTTTCTGGTCCCGAAAACAACTCACAAAATATATTTTTAGACCATTTCTGAGTAGGTGTATGACTACAATTGTCCAGCGTGCATGGCGTGTGAGTGTGTGAGCCATTGTGCTGAGTGAAGCAGGTTGTTTCGTACCCAAGCCGTTTCGTACCCAAGTCGTTTCGTGCTGAGGCGTGTGACACACACCGGATGCGTGAGACTTGGTAGGTCTGATCTCGCAGACTTTCCGAATTTTTGTCTACAAATATTTGTGTATAGTCACCCTTGTGAATTTGACCCTGGTATGAGAGGCACTCTCTAAGTATCAGTGGATCGAACACAATTACTACGGTAGCAAGATCAAAATCGAGATCAAATGCAATATGCCTGTATATTGTTGATGTACCCTAACGTGGCGCACTTTGATTTTTCGCCTGTAGCGCCTAGCTAGAGCAAAAGTTTTAACTGAAATTTCACAGAAAGTGAAATTTCATCAAGTTATAAACACTCCCGTTCATAAATCGCGAATTTATTTACCCGCTACAAAGTTAAAAGAAAAACTTATTTTGGCCTGATTTTCCGATTTTATTTTCAAGTGCAAAGTGAACCCTTTGAAAATGCCCCGAAAAATAAGAAAATAATTTTGTGACAAACATCTGGCTGGGTATGTAAGTAGAGATAATAATGATTTATCAGAATTTATCAAGTTTTCAGAAATTCTTAAATGTTAATTTGGAATTTCCCGAGATTTATTTAAGTGCGCCACGTTAGGGAACACTCCGCCAAATTGTGCCCAATTTCCGGACGCCACCGTTTTTTAATTTCGGCTTAAATTTTATGAAACCGAAATTGTTCACAGAGGTTAAACAGCAAGCATTAATAAGGTAAAAGTACCAGTATTTCACTGCATGAATTTGAGGTTTGTCAACAAAGAGGTTTGGCAACACTACACGAGGAAATTTGGGTATGCTTCGAAGTGCGCCACGTTAGGGTACACCACCATACTGGATGAGTTTAATCGTCCTTGTAAAAAATTAATGTATTTAGGGAACACATATCACAGATTAACATTGACAAACATGACAAAGACATGGCAAAAAGGACAACTGGAACGCCCCCCAACCAAAAACAAAAAGTGGAAGGGAGGAACTCCACTCCAGCATGAACGATATATACAAAGACACATCGATCAGTTCACTTTGTATTCAACATTTAGCTTTGTACGGCCAGAAGAAAACCCTTTGCAAAATTTATGCAAACTATAGCCTATACTATAGGATAAGAAAGTGAAATTGTGCTCAAGCTCATAACACCAAATGCTTTAACTGCCGAGAAAACAGTGCATTAGTTCCCGTCCCGGCACAATTGCAGAATACGGGGTATTCTGCAATTACTCCCCTGTCCCAATTCAATCTTACTTCTGTGATTACTGATCCTTGTGATAAAAAAAACTATGGCACCCCTACGACGGTGGAAGAAGTGCCCGTGATCGATGACAGCACCGTGACTGTTCAGCTGCGCTAGGCCGACTGGATACGGGTTACAACGCCAATACGCCATGTGTACGGATTTGCAGTTGTGCAATGTGACAATTGTTCAGCAAACTCGCTGGACACTCGATCGGCAAAGGCGAAAAACATTACAAAAATCAACATGCACTCACTCACCAACCACAAATTCTGATTCGGTAAGTCCTCGCAGGCTGTGTTCGTTACTACAAAAATTCACTCCAAGTCCGAATCAATGGAAATATTCAGTTACAAATCCCGAGTCCACGTGTAGAATGTTTTGCAAATTGATCTGCAGATGAACCATTTCGTTACACCTGCACGTCAAAGAATGGGCACGATCACTGTTGTTTTGCATCGTTGCCAAGAGAGAGCGCATGCTCAGTTCAATCTATTAACTCTGTTTACGGCTGTTTGATGTCGATGTGGATCGCAGCTGAAGAACAAACAGTCGTCGCTTAGTAAATAATGTATTAGAATGTACATGTGTACATGTATATATAGGCCTACTTGTATACATAGTATATTGATCGCTAATCATCGTACGCAGAAAGTAAACAAAACCTAACGGTTGCATTTAATTCAATAACCGGCAACTTGGAAAATGAAGGTGAAAAATGTTTTCCTTTTATTTGGTTATACATCAATTTCATAGTGGCATCGATTTTAAGCAAACCTTGAAAACTTCGGATATATCAACATCTCAGTGTATTAAAAATAATGAAGGGATTTTTTTTTAAAGTTGAACCATGGAGGAATAAGAATACATGTGTTCTTATTCCTGGGAGGAATAAGACAAAAAGTGAGTTTCCCTTATTCGATTTACGGCATGTAACGGAAACTTTTTTGCTGCAAGCTGGAGAGGAAAAAGTCCTTGGAGTTTCATATTTATTTCCAAATGTTCCTACATGTACAACATCTACCCAGCTCGAACGTCCCCACATAATTCTGAGCCCCCCTCCCCGGCCCCCGCCATACCCCGTTCCCGACCCCGCCCACCTGCAGTACTATAATTTCGTTGAATAAATTATGCTAAATAAAATGTACACGTAGTTCAGTCAACGCAGCCATGTTGAATTTTGTGTGGAAACTGCATGCATGCGCTGCACGGAAGACCCCTTATGCTGCTCAAAATTCCGCATGAAAACAACACCATCTCGCGGCAAATTTGGAACGTACATATGTACAGACCATAGCAAATTCCATAGAAGTTCTTCATGAAGTTTTGAGACACAAGTTCTGTCGTAATTTCCCCCAGAAAGTGTATTAATTTGTCATGAGGAAGTCTTCACAGTGTCACTGTCAGTGAGCTGAATCAGCATGGCAAGCAGACAGAAGAAAACGAACACGATTGTGGTAACGAGCGCCGGACCGGTAGAAAGCACAGATGTACCGCAGCACAAGACGGCCGGCAGTTCACCAGCGAAGAGTAGTGTCATGATCAGCATTATACCGCCGGCGGATCCGAGGGGTCATGCGGTACCGGTCTTACCGGCTGCACCGGCGGCTGCCGGTCACTTACCGGCCGCACCGGCGGTCGGTAATGCTTCGGGTAGCGTGTCCACAGTGGCCATGCCCACGCTCTTGCCCACTGCTAGGGCGCCTATGAAACAGGTCACCCTTCTGAAGACACAACAGCCCTCCTCCCAGCAGATGAGGACATTTGACATGTTTAGTGAACACATAGACGTGTTTCTGGTGGAGGTCTACCGCTGTAAACTCTGCAAGTTCCACAATGCGTTGAAGGCTGTAATGGCCAAACACATGACCGAGAAACATTTCCCTGAACCTGGCATTTCAATGGCGACAACGGAAGAGATTGTCATCAGCTCATCGGCAACTGTTGTTCCAGTGTCATCTTCAAGTGAAAATCAACACACAGCTCTTCCTTCACAAATTACTGCACAAGTGCCATCTTTAAATCCAATGAGTAGTACTCCTCACGTATCCGGTGAGGCAGGCAGCAATGCACCGGTACAAGTGCAGATAACCAGCCAAGCAAAGGCAGCGTCAATCGAGGGGAATGCGTTGGAACTTTTGATGGGAATCGGGCATGAGAATGACCCAGAAGTGTTGAAGTCTAAACAAATAACGACGACAAGCCAGGTACCCGCAGGTAGTGTCACAGGGACAGGACCCATCCCTGAAGTCACAAACAGCGAGTTTTGTGAGTTAAAACAGAAAACAGGACTGACTACAACTATGGAAATGAGTGGATCCGAAGCAGGAGGACTTGTGACCCTGGTGACTGTCAATGAAGAGGAGCTGGCTAAAACCTTGAGGGTTGATGACAAGAAAGACAGTGAGGGGGAGAGCGATGATAATGATTTGGATGGGGATGATGATGATGATGACGATATTGGGGACGCTGGGGCTGAAGATGAAGACACGAGTGATGACAACACAAAGCAGAGCAACCAGGAGGATTTGAGCGGCAAGGACACCCTCTTAAAACCTATCCCAGTCCAGATAGGGCTTGGCTCTCCCGCTCCAAACATCGACATACAGGAGATCGCCAACACGGCCTCCAAGTCCAACCCCAAGGCCACTACGATCACAGTCCTTCACCATGGCCAGGGCAACGGGCCACCTACGGCCATCCAATTCAAAAAGAGCAAGAAGAGCAAAGCTGTCATCCCCACAGGCGAGTCTCTGGGCATCGCGTCCCCCTTCACCAGCCGTGCTTACAAGGGTAAAAAATTATTCCTTTGCAACTCCTGCCATGCTCGCTACAAGTCGCGAGCCGAGCTGGAACGCCACGTCCAGAAAAAGCATCAGCAGGTCAAGAAGTTCCTCTGTGAGATCTGCGGTCTGGCGCTGGCCACTCGAGCCAGCGTCAAGTACCACGTATCCAAGAGACACCAGCTGTCCCGACTGATATACAACTGCAGCGTTTGCGACTACTGCACGCACTTCGCTGCCCGTATGGCCATCCACAAGGCCACCCACCAGTCGGAATTCTTCTGCAATCTCTGCAAGAAGTCCTACGTCAGCGCTGAGCGTCTGTCGCGTCACTATTCGTCCCCGCTTCACAAGAATGCCCTCAACCCCCTCGTGTGCGAACACTGCGGATACAGCACCAAGAAGAGGGACAACTTTCTTGTGCACATGAGGAAGCACACTGGGGAAAAGCCTTACAAATGTAAACTCTGCAACTATGCAAGTGCTGATGGAAGTACACTGAAGGTTAATAGTAGGCCCCTAATGCCAGACAATTTCAGCCTCAAATTGTCAACTATACATACATGTAAACCTGCGGTTATTGCCATACCTACGAGGTGTCGTCATGCTCACACGCATGTTGCACGCATTTTATAGGCCATCAGCCTAGGGGTTTGGCCAGTATCAAATCAGGGCATACCTTGTAAATGATTATAGTGCGCATGCGCAAGGTATAGGGGCCTACTGCCCCTAGAGTGGTAACAAGCATTTTGATGGACATTTTGAAAAAAAGGGTGATACATGTAACACCCAAAAAGGTGACACCGCTGCAATGCTTTCACATATATTCTAACTCTGGAGGGTGTATAGCCTACCTTGCCAAAATTCGCTATGATGATGTAATTCCCCTCATTTGATACCGGTGGCCAAGGGTTTGGACCGAGGCTGATGTCCTATTAAGTGTGTGCCTCACACCACATGTGCATAATACTATTGCACCATTTCATTGGCGTATCTTTGTCATCAGAAACATCTACAGTGCAGTATCCTAATTAGAAACAGGCCCTCGAGCGAAATCTCAAAATATTGAAACTTATAAAAAACAATGTTTTTGATAATTTTTTAAAAACAAATATTAGTTGATGTTGGCAATGCTATGAGTATGAATAATATCCTAAACATCACACTCCCAAATTCAATGGCATTTCTATTGTGGCTGAAATCTAATTCGGGGGACGGGAGACCCAGATGAGGGGGGTTGTACCCAATTGGCCAAATAAAAAAAAAAAACATATTTAGCGTCCCGGTCGCTTCCTTTTTGGAGGCCGCCTCCTTTTTTTCTTCTTCTTTTTTTTAAGCACAAAAAATGACATCTTTCTGGCCTTTTTGTCTATTGCATTCTAGACAATATAAAGCTGGTAAGTGGTATGTCATTCCTGAGTCCAAGTGGCAGCCATTTCAAAAAAAGCTGGCGGCCATCTTGAAAAATTGTCCGGTCGGGCGGCCATTTTGGAAGGGAAAAACAGAAAAGGGCCTCTTCCTTCTTTTTTTCAAAAAGGCAGGACGCTAAACATGTTTTTTTTATATTTGGCCTTGTATTGACCCGCTTAATCTGTGTTTTGTTTTTTTTTCTCCAAAATTTCTATTCCATTTCAGTTTTGAAGACTTTATTTTCAAAGAGGCTTTTCAGGCTCAGTTTTGTTTATTATAATTTTTAGAACATCGCCAAAAAATGTATCTTTTATAAGCAAAAATCCTCATTTCAACCTCTGCCCACTTACATGTATGTCTCTTTTTGCCAGAACGCCTCACATAAATTTCAAAAACAATTGCTTGGCCAAAGACTTGAATGCCAATTTTGAACGGCTGTTAAAGCTACAGTCCATCATTTGCAGCTATCCAAAAAGTAACTGACATATTTATTGTTGAAAAACATACTTGGTTGAAAAAAGTAAGGGGACTAAACACTCCCTGTGAAATTATTCTTTCTGGCATGCTGTCATTTTGAAGAAATCAATGAAAGAAGGCCTTTCCAACAGTGCGTCTAAGACCTAAGAGGCTAAGACGCACTGTTGGAAATTACCTTTAGTAGTTTGGTTTTTTTATTCGGCAAAGCGCGCGCAAGCGTTGACACGACGCATACGCGCGCCCTCTATAATTCATCGAATTAGTGCGTGACATCCCATAGCTGCAATCAGCTAAGTGAGAACGTGTCTCGGACGCTGAATTCAGGCCCAGTTCAAAACAGATTCAGCAATTTTTTATTTGAAATTGAGATCCTAGAATGTTGTTTTACTTGAAATATTGCTGAAGCTGAGCTGAAATTTCACGAGGTTAGTTGCTCAGCACCCTTCTTTAGATTCTGAGCATGTTTGTTGGGTCCAACAAACAAAATGCACAAATTACAACTGATGGACTGTATCTTTAAAGAAACGGCTTCCATCTTTTATTGCAGAAACACGTCATGGCCAAGCACTCCACCATCCGTCCCTTCAAGTGCCAAGTCTGCAACTTCTCCTGCGTGGACAAGAAAGGCCTGGACATCCACTCCCGCAAGCACACCGGCGAGCGCCCCTTCAAGTGCCAGTACTGCCCGTATGCTGCCAAGCGACGCTGTGCTCTCAACGTGCACGTGCAGACGCACAGTAAGGAAAGCACTGCCGAGAAGCAACCCAAGGTTGTGTCCAGACCACAGGCAGCGGTGGGTGTAGCCTTGGTCAGGACGTTCCTCGATAGTGTACAATTAATAAGGGAATAAAAGTGTGCTCGAGAGGTTTTTATCACTCTGTTTAAGACCGCTTAGAGTCTGGGTGCTGATCCGGCTCGGGTAACTATCAGCACCCAGACTCTAAGTGGTCTTAAACAGAGTGATAAATACCGACGGAGCACAAATTTATTCCCATTCATAAATACCTTTTCGGTAAAAAAAAATCATATAATTCGTTCAAAACATCCCGATTTTGTTCAACAAATTCACTTTATGCTTTTTGAAACATCCCTCTTGCAAAATAATAGGAGTGTTCAGCTGGCGAGTAAGATGTAAACAACCCTTTTATGGAGATACGCGCGCATATCATGTTCTGCGCGACGCACCTGGCGCGTTGCGTTTTGAATTTAGAACTACAAAATTCGGACTCCCTTGTAGTGTTGCGCATGCCTACGTGAGGATTGTGAACGTTCAACCAATGAAACGATAAGAGGCACTGGATTTTTAGGAGTCCACATTTTATTGTGACACTGGAAAAGTGTTTAAGACCAGCTAGCCATGTCTTTATCATCCGTTTAAGACCAGCCACGTGACGGGCTCTCAACCAATAGGAATGCGTAAACTGTCTAAGGTATTTATGAATGAATGTTTATAAGTGCGTTGGTGAGAATATTTTCATGAGTTAAAAGATTGAATGTCACATTCCATCTTTCAAATGAATGAAAATATTCTCACCATTGCACAAATTTGAAACATTCATTATTTGTTTTATATAACATCCAAGTAGGTCTTTGTCATTCGATTGGATGATAAAACTTTTAAGAACAAGCAAAACTCACAAAATTATAACATATCCACTACCTCTTTTCAGCTTTTTCAAGGCTAACAATAAAAGTCAAATCATACACAATAATGAAAATTAACATGATTGTTGGTTCTCAAAACAATGCAAAATGATCATCAAGGCAACTGCATCAACTTCAAAGGCAAGGTTTCTACTGCTAAATGCATGCTGTGGTCTTAATAGCACAAAGATCGTATAGTGCCGGGCCGCCGCGCGTCTTAGCGTGCGCGGCGTGCACGCTTGGTTTAAACATAGTAATGACACTAAACTCCCTTTGAAATTATAATTCCTTCTGGGATGCTGTCCGTTTGTAGAAAACAACACTTTCCAAAGAAATTTCCGTGAATCTGCCCCCATGCGTTCTGATTTGTAGTTGGTTTGCAAATGGGCGAATCCGTGAATGGGCCGTTAATCGGCTGAAAGAGAATAATGTCCTGAATGCTGATTCCGGGATAGTGTCACAAGAGGGCGCAATTCAAAATAAGACTGGGCAAATTTGGATTTGAAATCTAGATCCAGAACAATGTGTTTATGTTTGTTCTGTTTTCTTGAAATATACAGCATTCGCAGAGCTTAGACCTCATCAGGTTAGTTATTAAAGAGGATGTGGAATGCTCGAAGACATTTCCGTCATTTTTCGGGTATGTGTAGCCTAAGGTGTGATTTTGAGAGCTGAAAAACAGCTCTCAAAAGTACCTTTTGTACTCATTTCATGACAGAAACAATAGTCGTTTTTATTTCATCACACCTTAGGCTACATATACCCGAAAAATGACGGAAATGTCTTCGAGCATTCCACAACCTCTTTAAGCATCCGTCTAAATTTGAGCACTTCTCTTGATTCAAAGGAAAATAGTGCACATATTACAAATGGTCTACTATGAGTTATCCTGCGAGCACAAGTGGAACACGGAATAATGTAGTGCGTCTGTGTCCCACATACCACGAGGCCGAAGGCCAAGTGGTATGTGGGACACAGACGCACTACATTTGCCGCGTTCCATGAGCGCGAGCGTGATAACGAATTGATCATCAAGCAATCTTGACGCACAATAAAGATGAAACGCATGCTGTACAAAAAGTGCTTATCCTATTACACGTGCATGGTTTGTACGCAATGGTGCGCGCATCTTGGAAAAGCTCAAAACGCAGAGTGCGGTATGGACCGTGGCCGTGCTATGTAGCACGGCTTGTTGCCATGGATCGACCAATCAGGATTGAGGATTCAAGTTGACTTGAAGATATTATAAAGGTGGAAACAAACCCCCTCTCCGTCAGAGAAAACAAACGTTTTTTTTTTAATAGATACCTGTGTTCACTACCTTTCCATTGTTACTAAATGAAGGTTTAACTTTCTGAAACTTGCAGCCAACAAGATTTGAAACAGTTGGTACACTCGCTCAAGCCAGCCAACAAACCCTACATCAGACCCCACAGCAGACCCCACAGCAAGAGCAGCAGTATACCACCATGGCCGACTACCAGCCCACAACCCTGGCCACACCGGTGGTGCAGGTTGTTCCCCAGACTGTGGGGGGCCAGTCAGTAAGTACAAGCCCAGACATTTGGGGGAAGTGGTAAGAACATGACCGATACAGGGTGTATAGAAAATGTAATCCAAAAATAGTGAGTTAAAATGTTTAATTTAAAGGTAATTTAATACAACATTTGCGCTGCTGTAATTTTCAAAAATAATGGATTTGGGGGCTAGTACATGTATTTAAAAGCATATATTATAACAGCGGCCTAGGAAAAATTACAAACAAATGTTGACTAACTTAAAAATGGTCGAAATTTACAATAATGTTCAATGTTGTCATTTCTGACTGTTGAACCTCATTGTCGATTCAGACTATAACAAATTATTGTGCAACCATTGGCCCCCTTCAATGGCAAATACATTGTGCTGGCTATTACTCAAAGCAACTGTCCCATGACGGATTATCTGAGCAAAAGCTAGCACAGTGCTTTCACCATTTAAGGATGACTCCATGAAATTACAGTGATAGCATCCATGAATGGTCTAAACACTATGTAATTTCCACAAAAATGCAGTTTGAATATCTGAAAAGTTTTTAAAAACATTGATATCCTTATTTTTTTTTTTTTTTGTAGCTTGTGTCTGGCTGTGAAGCTAAGCCCGTCCAGGCAGTGTGGCATAACGTGTGAGCAGGTCAACTTGGAATCAACCATGTCTACCCACTTCCACTGAGGCTGCTGGTGTAGCGCACTTCAACCTGCCTTCACAAAGCAGCCAGAAAGATTGTGCAACTAGACGACTTGAACAATTTAGTGGACAGCAGGGTATGTGCGTGCAGTGTAAAATCATGAGACTGCTCGTTACGCTCTGCCCACTAGCTGTGCACGATGGCATCAACACATGCACACCTCCAATGTCACATTGCATGTTCCAGATGTGTGTGTCAAACGCAGTTGCACACAAATCGTCGCAGAGCTGACATACCGACGAAGAAGCGCAAACCCTGTTTCAAGTAATTCGCGTTTGAATTTGGGCATAGATAAAATAGACTTAAAAGTCACCTTTTACGTGACATTTTTGGCAACCACAATAGCACATCATTCATTGGTACTTTGAACGCATGCCTTACATTAGCTGGTTACCAGCAAAATTACATCTTCGTCACTATGTCACATTATGGATTTGATATTAGGACTGATTTACCACAGGTGGGGGCTCCGAATCTCAAAATCAAGACAAGAAATTTTAAGAGTTTGGTATAAATACTTGAAAGAGCAACCTTTAATGTCTGTGGTTATGGTTAAACCGGCTGGTGAGTCAAAGATTCCTCCAAAGCACTTCTGCTGGAGTGCACTGGCATGCACAACTGACTTGCAATAAACTACACGTACACCAAATGTACAAGGGTACATGTAAATGGAGTACACATCATTTCGTCGCAGAGCAGCTGCAGCTGACAAACCGTCGAATCGCCAATTTTGGCGATATCGATATTTGTGTCATTTTTTTGGTTTTTATAAAAACACACAAATGTAATGCCGAAGATTTGTCTTGGAAAAGACATGGTATTTTATTGAGGATGTCTGTGGGAAGCCTGTTAGCTATTAATCACAACTGCCGATTGGTCAGGACATCACAGGGCGGGGCTAAAATGAATCAGTCTGTCAGTAGTCTGTCATGTGACAGTGACTATACATACAGCATCTCGCTATCTCAAATGTAAATTTTGTTCAAAAAAGTGGCCTTTTTGTGAGATATAAAAAGTGTGGGTGGATGGGGAGGGGGGAGGTCGTCAGTTATTCATACTTGCACAGATTGTGAGGCGTTGATGCTTTTTGTGAGGGCTGGGGTGATGGTAGTCTGAGTATCATCCAAGGGTCCAAGTCGCCTGTATAACGTCTGATATGTCAAAGCATGCAGATTTATGCGATCTCGCGTCTCAGCCAATCGGAGTCGACTTTACTAAATCGGGACGTCATTTCATTCCCAAATCAGGACTAAAACTGTGATTGGTCAATTCTAATGCAGTGTTTTGTAATACAACAGCCAGACGCATGTCATGTGACATAATACAGAGCGCGTGACCACAGCCTTTGTTGCTGTTATAAAGTGTTTTTTTTTCATGTCTATGACGCGACAACGGTGAATGACCGAAGACCCGATAAAGAAAGCGCCCACTGATTGGTCAAAATCTAGGGGTCAAGATGCAGTTTTTCTTGCATAATTAATCCGCGAATCTGCTCAGTTTATCAGCAAATTTGCTTTTTAACCTAGGCCAATGATCAGCATTCACATACACTCGACAGTGGAGTTCTGGTCCCATTCATCGTGCACATAATGCACAGTTGAGCCCAAGGCTTTATGTTTGCTGTAACCAGAATTTGTGTTATTTGTATTAAACGAGAGTCGACTTTAATCATACATGTACATTGTACGTCCCAACCCGGCACACAGATATTTGAAGAGTTTATTTCAAAATCGTGATACGTCCATTTAAAAAAAATGGACATTTTGCCCAGTTATGAAACTTTCAAAATTATACAAACAGTATGTTACAGCTGTTTCTAAACTTCCGTTTAGTTGGTTGTATTCTTAAGTCCTGCTTTTGGGTAGCCAGGAGAGGGCAGCATTCTACAAGGAAACAATTTATGGCGTTTTGGAAAATAAATTCTTCATAGGCTATATACAAATGATGAATATCGTGCTGTGTTAAATTTTGGAGGCGCTGCATATTACTTGATCCATTTACATGGTAAAATATAATGGAAAATGCAGCTAGCGATTTACCAATACAGGTACTGCACTAGTCTGGGACGGCTTCATTTTGTTTTTGGCTTGGCAAAATATATTCTTCCAAAATAAGATCATGGCTAAGTAATATACACAGAGAAATTATTTCCAGATTTATATGATCCTTTGTAAGGGAATAATTGGGTATGATTGATTGAAAAATAAAATGAATAGGCCTAATACAGAAAAAGACAGTTGCGTCTTGTGATTTTTTTAATGAAACATTCGGTTTTCAACAGATAACGGGACTGTGAGAATTTGCGTGTTGAAATATAGCTTGTCCCAATTAATTCAACGCTGGTATAATTACAATTCCAGGGAAAGATATTTCTTATTTGCATCCCAAAACGCTGTTGGGCTCCATTGTTCATTCCGATTTAGAATTTACAAAACAAAATGTCATATTTGGTCAAGATTACACGATTCGTCCCAGTTTCAAGAAATTCGTAACTCGAGTGTTAGCACCCCCCCCCCCCCCCCGGATCCGCCGTTGATTGTGTCCTGGTCGAGACTACCGCGCTGTTCCTTCCGTTTTGATGGGTGAAAGCGTGTGAACCTGAAGTATATATGCTGTACATCTGTATCATGGACGGCGCCCCCTATTGTACTGTGATGTACATCCCCCACCCTCCCCCTTTCGAACTAATGATGTGCAAACCCGACCCGAAACCGACTTCGGGTCGGGTCTGGTCGGTTTGTCCATCTTTTCGGGTAGGGTCGGTTTGAACATCTTTTCAGTCGGGTCGGGTCGGTTTCGGTTTTGCATTTTCATTTTTGGGTCGGGTCGGGTCGGTTTAGCCATCTTTTGAAGAAAAAAAACCGATAAACCGAAACAGTTAAGAAATTTAGGTGATGCAATATTATTGACAGTCACTGTGACCGCAGCCCATTGTGTGGTGTTGCCACCGAGCGCACTATCAAGTTCCCAAGGTATTAATTTCTCCAGGCGGATCGTGCCACGTGTAGGGCAGGCACAAAAAAGTGATCACTTTGACCAAGCCAGGTATTCGTTTTTTTCGGGTCGGGTCGGGTCGGTTCGGTTTTACCTTATGTTTTTGTCGGGTTGGGTCGGGTCGGTTTGAGAGAGTTAAGATCGGTTTCGGTTCGGATTCGGTTTACATCTATAATGTTTCGGATCGGTTTGGCCTGGTCAACCCGACCCGATGCACATCATTATTTCGAACTACAAACGTTCATGACCGGGCAAGATTTTGATCATCCCCTATGAATCCTGCCACCCCCACTTGCCGATAGAGATTTACGCCACTGGTGTCAAATATTTCTCAATGACATCCAATATTGATGAGACAGGGAAAATAAACATTAGAATAATGTAGGGTCAATGTTTACAATCGATATTTATTACAAGGAAACAATTCATTTATAAGAAGAAGAATACAATTTTGATTCAAACACTGTATAATATTATCAGATCCATTTTGATTTTTAACAAAATGAACGCCTCGTTTAGAGGTTTGCGATGAAAAACATCACTCCTTTTAAGGACTGATTTGTTTTGTTTTGTGTAGCTAGGCCTATATAGCAAGCAAAACAAAATATAAATTAAGTAAAACAACGTGATCAAACACTTCCAGCAATAATATTTTGTTGTGCAAAATAATATAGGTTTTCCCGGCCAATTTCACCAAGTTTTCATTCAATTTGACGCCTGGCTAATTCGATTTAGATTGAAATTGAAAGATCACGCAGATCGACATTCGTCAATCAAAAAGAATCATTCAATTTCACTATCAGAGCATTCTATCGCATTTTAGCTTCATTTGTCCCTATCAAAGATACACTTATATTAGAAGCATCGCGTTGTTCATTCAATTTCGTCTAAACCAGCAGTAAGGGGTTGATCGGGCATTCGTTTTCATTAATGGGCAAACATATTTCACATTTTGTCAAACATTTTGTTAAGACTTCATAGGTGTCCGTATTCCTTACCGTAAATCATATTTGATGTTTTCAATCCGTATATGCCTTTCTTTCTTAATTACAGAATATGTGCAATGAATTTTTTCTCAGGAATTCTTTTGGTGCAACTCTTTACTACTGAGAAAAGTAAGAAAACTGCAAATTTTTGACAACCGTTTTTGGTTAATCTTATTGCAAAAGTGCACTTCTTTAAACATTGAAAAGTGTCCATGCTTTTCCGGACTACGTATGAGCGCGCTGTTACTGTGATGTCATTTCAGAAGTGGTCTGGAAGACACTGTTAAGTTTAGGGGTTTAATCATTCAAATTATTCACCCAAAATTTGATATTTGAAAACATTTGCGCCCTGTACTGACACATCAAAGAATCACCAAATAAAAGATATTTAGACAGCAAAATATCCAATATTCTAGCAACTTTTTGTGCTGAAATAGCCATGTAACATTGATCATGCCGAGAATGCCGTCACAGGTTTTGTGATGAAACTTTGAATTAGCATAAAAACGGAGAAGGCACCAAACACACCCTTCATAGTGGGAAAATAAAACAAGCAAAAATAGTTAAATGTGACACAAAGATGTAGAAATAACGCAAGAGAAGTGTTCCCGATGGTACAACCATTGCCAAACATACGTGTCCCGAAGTCTTTCACGTCAAGAAATCGTCAAAGTAAATTGCCCTTTCAAACGAATTAAGTAGAAAAGTAAAAAGTTCAGCAGTGAACAAGAAATTATCTTAATCCCTTTCAATTAATTATTCCAATACATCTAATCGTGTTTCCCTCATATCAGTTAATTTGTAACATTGTAAATTTTACAGTCATCAAGATTTTTTGGGGGGAAATGAACCTGATCGGAAGAAAATAGGAAATTACATCGATTAAAAAATCAAACAATGAAAGCGATTGCCCATAAACGAATAAGAAACGAAAAGCACGTTATAAGCGCACAGATGTTCGCTAATTTGAATGCTTCAACCGTTAAAAGGTTGCAAAGACTTTATTTAAGACTGCTACAAATTAAGTCTTGAATGCACCAAAACGAAATAGAATGTCCCAAACGAAAACGAAAACTCATTGCAAAATCTTGGCTGCCTGAAAATGAAATTGATTGAACCCAAAATGAAAAAGAAACCCCAATTTGACCACATGTGCAAAACTCTCGCGAAATTGAATGGCTGATAATAAAACTGATTAGAACAATTCGGAAATTCGCCGGAAAAACCTATATGCACAGTGTTGATGTATTTTTCCGTTGTCGAATGGCTTGGCACTAAAAACAAAACAAACCGGGGCCATCAGAATTCTTATTAAAGGACCGCCCACTTGTTTTATTTCAAGTGCATATCAATATCTTCTGTTGATTTAAAGACCAAAAATACAGCTTATACGTAAAGTCTGAAATGAATACGTATAGCTACCACTACAATGTGTTATAGATAGACGTGAACAATTCCGTACAACCCAACGTATACGTCCAACTACGTGATGCATTATGTACAAAGTCGTGAAGTGGGGGGGGGCCTTAGTTTGGTCTGTAAATGTTTTTTTTTTTATGCATTGGATGTCACATTATTATTAGTGATGTATCACATTCACATTTCCAACAGCAGCTCATTAAAGTGTCTGACATGTACCTCCGAAATTACGGAATTGCTCCCCCCCCCCAAAAAAAAGTAACATTAGGAAGGGCACATTAGGAAGCAAGGAAATCGTTGGGTCCAGGCCTACATGTCAGCTTTGGAGAAAACACTCAAACCGTGTTTACACAAATAATTAATGTCCTCTGACTGATATAGTTGTCCATGTAGAACTCATGCGTGCACTGGCTTTGTATTCGGTTTATTAGTGTGACGTCACTTCAGCTTTAAACCAAGCCCACTGCACATGGTAAGTAGCATTGGAACCACCGGAACCGGAAGTTAATGCAACATGAGGGCTTATCCAATGGGCGCTGATCAGTAGTGTTCTCAAATTTGTGTGCGCGTGCGTGTGCGAATACAAAGCCT